AGAGAGAGAGAAGGAGGAAAGGAGGGAGGGAGGGAGGGAGAGAGGGAGGGAGGAAGAGAAGGAGGAAGGGAAAAACAGGATATATGTTTATTGTAGGAAACTGGGTTGTGCAATTATACATTGGCTGACTATGTAAGTCATTGGTTGTATATTTGCTGACTAATGTTTGAAATCTACAGAGCAGGCCTTCAAGAAAAGCAAGCTGGAAACTCTAAGGCAGGAAATGACACAGATAGTACACAGGTAGAATTTCTTCTTTCTAAGGGAAACTTGAGTACTGTTTTTAAGGCCTTTCAATTGATTGAATAGTTCTTATCCAGATCATTAAGGATAATTTCATTTACTTGGTCAACTCAATATTTTTGTGCTGTTTGTCACATCTACAGAATACCTTCACAGCAATAATGCGTTATGATCTGAATTATTGAGTACTACAACTACCAGGCTGACACATTAAGCTGACTACTAGAGATGTCTTTCAGGATTCTGAACTGAGAGGAGTGGAAAACATTGGTAACCTAATTAAGACAAGGAATACATGAGGAAGAACAGATGGTGGTAAGGAATGACTAAAATGTTTTCTGCACTTCATAGCTGCTAAGATATACTCTTCCTTTACAGTTTAACTTCTCTGGTGTTAAGATGCATCTTAAAACTGATGGCATCTTATCACTATAATTGGCATCATTTTTTCTTAGTAATTTATTTACCAAATGATGGTACACTATTGGATTGCAGGAAACAAAGTAGTGGGTATAATTTGGTATCCTGAATTTAACATATCTCAGGGATATTGTTGTGGTTTGGATCTTTAATGTCTCCCCAAAAGCTTGTGTTTTGAAAGCATGGTCCTCAACACAACAAAGGTCAGAGGTGGGGCTTTTAGGAAGTGATGAGAGCTGTTACCTCATCATGGATTGATCCATTTGATGGATTACTAATTTGAATGGACTTCTATGTGGTAACTGTAGGCAGGTAGGGAGTGGGCTGGAGGAAACAGGTCACTGGGAGTGTTCCCACTAAACCATGAGCCAAAAATAAACTTCTTTTCTAAATTGTTATTGTTAGATATTTAGGTCACAGTAATGAAAAGCTGACTAACACAGACATGGATAGCTCCTGTTCATAAAATGTATAGGTAGGAAACAGAGACCAGCTACAGAGGTAAGATTGGGCATATATCTTTAATAAAATGAAAATTGAAGCAGTGGAAATGGATGGAATTCTCAAGGAAAACAGCTATAAGTGAGAATAATAATAGTTAAATAAATAAGCCTAAAAATAAAACAGATAACTTTAGAAGGGAACAAAAGAAAGGGAGTATTTAGAAAAAAAACAGTCAGAATATTTCTTATAAGTAAAGAGAGATGAGAAGTTTGGAAAACAATGAGCAATTGTCACTTTTAAATGCAGCACAACTATATGGAAGTCATTAATGACCTTTCCAGAATGATTTCAGGGTAGTGGTTAGGAAGAAAGCAGGTTTCACTGAATTGAGAAATGAAGGAGAATCAAGACAGCAGAGGTCATGAACATAAACTATAAGTAAGTTTGGTAAAGAGAGATGGAATAACAAAAAAGCTAGAGGGAATGAAGCCAAAGTTTTGTTAGAAATGACTCACCTTGCACTTACGTCTAAGATAAAGAGAAATGTGCCACTCTTAGTAAATCAACCTAAATATGGTTATCAGATCATCTTTTTGACAACTTGAACTCTGAAGGATTGAGGTAGTGAGGTAGAAGGGAGGAGACAAATCAATCAGCCAGGATTCCAGAAAAAAACTAAGAGTACATTCAAGAGAGGTGATTCAAGAGAATTTAATGCCCAGACTATCTGCAAAGATATGAGCAGGATAAAAGGAAACTGACCCTAGGGTTAGTAATGTTCTCAAGAATATGCCACTATCCCTGAGAGGATACTCCTTCTCCATCATAAGGAAGTTGTTATAGTCTGGCAAGACTGATAACTTTAAGAAACAACTTAGTTGTTAACCTAAGGACTCACAAGAAGAGAGCCAGGGGATAAGTACCCTGACCTCTCTCTTCTTCCATTTGATGTTCAAGCTTTTGAGTGAACTAACAGGAAGTCAGAGGGTGGACAAGGCAGCCCATTTAATGCAAAGCATAATGATTAGCCTTCTGTGATACAGAGCTGAGCAAAGAAGGATGGAAAATGCATCTAAGGGAGCAGGTGGAAGATAGCCAACAAAGGATAGGGAATAGGACCCTGGTCAAGGGAACTCCTGGTGAAGACAATGAAGGCATTTTTAACAGATCCGATGATATGCTCTAGCAGTAGTATGAAAAAAAAATGCTATTCTAATTTGTGCATAGTTAATGAGAACCTGATATTTCCAAATAAGAAAAGACCCAATAACCTTGTTTAAATTAAACTCCATTGTTCATTTTGTATTGTGTATAATGAAGACAGTCAGTAATATCTATGGTTTAAAAAGATTCTAATACTCTGCAGAATAACTAAACTGCTCACATGTTTCAGTCTTTATATTCAAATACAGCTTTCGTATTAAAAAGATGCTTCTTATTTCAGAAATATGAATAAGTTAATGGTTTAAAAAATAACTACTGATGGTTAGATTTAGCCCTGAAAACAAAAAAAAAAAAAAGAAAAAGAAAGAAAAAAGAAAAACTGTTAAAACTTTTGTAGGTCTTTAATATTTCCACTTAATTTTGAAGTTAAAGGCTTATTCATTTAAATTTAGGTTATTTTGGTGGAAGGGGAGCTCTCTGCTGTAATTAAAATCTTAATAGATCAAGTGATGTGAGTAATGATGATTCTATTTCTATTTCATTTTTACCACCATTTTAGTAATCTTATAGCTAGCAGACAAGTTAAGGATTATACCAAATAAAAAGCTAATGTTGTTTCTAACATTAAAGGAGACTTTATGGGGAAAAAAAGACCTATAACCAATGAAATATCAAATTTTGATTTTTAAAGTTAATTTATTTAATATGTAAACATATATCCATATGCACACTTTCTGGATTGATTGTCATTTTAGAGGATTCCTTTCTCATATTGATGTGAAATATAGTGTTTTAGTCAACTTTTTCACTGCTGTGACTAAAAGGACCCAACTACACCACTGTAGAGGAGAAAAGGTTTATTGGTAGGCTCATAGTTCCTGAGGTCTTAGTCCATAGAAGGCCAGCTCTATTTCACAGGGCTCAAGATGAGGCTGAGATCATGACGGAGTGGGCAGAGGGAAGCAGCTCACATTATGGTGATTAAGAAGCAGAGAGACTCTACTCACCAGATACAAGTATATAGACCAAAGCCACGCCCTGATTTCCACCTCCTTCAGCCACACCCTACCGCTTCATTACTACTTGGTAATCCCTATCAGGGGATTAATTCACTTATCAGGTTAAGACTCTTACATCCCAATCATTTCTTCTTGTATTGTCATACATGTGAGCTTTGGGGGGAACTCTTCACATCCAAACTGTAACAGATAGCTTTGGTAGTTAAATTTTATAGAAAACCCCCAAGATACTTTCTTCTTTTATCTTTTAAACAAGCCAAAAAATAAATCTTCTTTTTCTTTTCCTTTGCTAAGCTAGTTGTGTAGTTGGGTCCTTTTAGTCACAGCAGTGAAAAAGCTGACTAAAACACTACATTTCACATCAGTATGAGAAAGGAATCCTCTAAAATGACAATCAATCCAGAAAGTGTGCATATGGATATATGTTTACATATTGAAGAAATTAACTTTAAAAATCAAAATTTGATATTTCATTGGTTATAGGTCTTTTTTTCCCCCATAAATTCTCCTTTGTAGAAATAACATTAACTTTTTATTTGGTATAGTCCAATTAATGTCTGAACAGTGCTAGAATGTACTAAATATTAAAGGAAAGATGAAACTTTGTACAAGATAGAAAATTGTCCCACTTCTAATTATTATAATCATTTTTTCTCAGGTTAGATTTATTTTCTGATAACCATATGAAAATTCAAGCTTGCAAGAGTTTTTGAGAACCATTCCGTTTTTATTTTCACTATTTACCCAAATTGACCATCTGTTTATGACTATCTAATTGTTTTATAACCTATATGATTCTGTGGGGTTACTCACAATCCAGTCTTATGGACTCATATTCAAAGAAACACCTATTGGGTATAAAAACATATTATAAGCAAGTGAAATCTTTATTCAGTCTCTTGAGAAATTGTCAAAGGGTAATTAGGGTAATTACACTGCCTTAAAGTCCCCTTGAGACCTTACTGTCATTTACTCTAACATGTCTATGGGTATGGGTTTACTGTGATGGAAATAAAGCTTAAATTCAATGATCCACTTACACAGGCATTTCCATGGCTGTCAGAGTCCCTACCAACGTATTCTCATAGTTCTAATTTTCTGTAACATTTTGTAAATAATGTATTTTTACTTAAGTCTGTTAAGACCATTGTCTCTTTCTACCTAACTATCCCATCATCATAATTGTCCCTCATATGAATGTCACTTGAGTTGCCACAGCCATTCTGAGGATCCTGCTTGGGGTTAGGTAGGCCTGGGGTACTTTTAGTTTAGGTTTAGTGAGAAATGTTCATATGGCTCATAGATATTTTCAGGTTTACTTAAATTATTGCTAGGCTTCCAGATGTAGGAATGGCTTCCAGGAATATTCTTATTGCCTACTATTCCAATTTATTGAGCACCATGATACAAAGGGCAAAACCAGCAGTTTGTATTATGTGAGGAATATATTTCATGGTGCCTAAAACCAAAAATTTGTGGGTGATAGAGGAGATCCAGATTTTGAAAGAGTGGCACCAGAATCAAATCCAGCTATTTTCTGGATTTTGTGATATCTCTGGTATTTGTCAGATAATTTTTGTTTTCTAGATAAAAATTTACCGTTTAATTTAACTTTGTATTCATAATTTTTATTCTTTTGTTTTTATAAACAGGACCTGCTCATGAGTTTAGAAATTTTGGTCTCCTGGATCTGCCTTACAGGTGAGAAAAATATTCTTGCCTCCCTCTCTTTGGCTCCTTCCTAGAAACCTTTCCTGGCAGCCTGGCAGACTTTTCACTCTAAGCATCATCTCCTACTTAAAGTATGTTTTTCCTGCTCATGATTCTCCTGCTAAGTGTCTTTTTCCCCTTTTCTGTTTCTTTTTTTCTTTAGAGGTACCTCTCTGTTTTGAAATTAAATGTAAATAATTTTCTCTATCTTATATATGATTAGCCAGTGTTTCTCAACCTTGAGTTAAATATGGATGGATCCCTTTGAAGGAGGGCAATATTTTGGGAGAATCCAATATTTGTTGAAATTATTTTTATGAGTCTATTTATATAAATAAAAGTTTAAAACTACAAATAAATATCCGAAGCTTATAGACTTTGTATGCCTTTAAAACAACTAAAAATTTAAACAAAACTTAAAGAGATCAAATCCATGTGAATACCATTATTTTAATGTGATATGTGATGGTATTTTGCTGAAATAAAATCATCCAGTTCTGGATTTAATGGTAGAAAAATGGAAACTCATGTCTGGTTTTATAACTAATCTGTTGGTGAATTTTTAAAAATTATTTTTCTAACTTTATATATGACAGCTGAATGCATTACAATTCTTATTACATATATAGAGCATAATTTTTCATATCTCTGGTTGTATGCAAAATACATTCACACCAATTCGTGTCTTCATACATGTACTTTGGATAATAATGTCCATCACATTCCACCATCATTAATTACCCCATGCCCCCTCCCTTCCCCTCCTACTCCTCTGCTCTATCTAGAGTGTTTGTGGATTTTTATTTCAATAGCACAAATCTAGAAAATGTATTTTCCTATATGTACATGGTACAAAATGGTACGAATAACTTTGTTTGCTAATTGAGTAAAATCAAACTTTATGCCTAACTAAATCTCCTCTAGTGAATAATCCTTGAGTGCAAGTTTTAAAGTGGAGTCATGAGATAATTGTGTGTTTTCCTTCACTTGGAGATAATGTGAGTATTGACACTCATTACTGAAGTATGCATTAAGTTGATATGTGACCCAATTACTGTGGGAACTAAAACTAGAACCTTTGTCTTTGCATACATCGTGCTCATGAAGTAATACCAAGTGGAACATTCAGGTAGGATTTTTAAACACTATTTGTTCAACAATGTGAATATAACAATGACCAACCAAAGAGGTTTGAGAGAGATTGGCAAGTCTGCATGATCATGTGCCATGGAATCAATCTATTCTACTATCAGGTTTTTCTTTTCCAGGTATGGAATCACTTTGATATATTTGATTTGATTGGCATCTGACCTTTACTCAGTGCAAATATGACAGGAAATGTAAATTTGAGGTACCTGATTCAGATAATTCAATATATAGTTATATTAATTTTGTAAGACTTTTATGAAAATAGAAATGAAAAAAATGTTATCTTAGAGAACTAACAATTAATGTTATTTCCTTTACTAAATAAGATAATTATAAAAATATTTTTGATAAACTTACTCCTAAAGTTATGACTATCAGTTTTTCCTGTCATAATAGTTATGTTTAAATGTCATAAACTCCTGAAACAACTATTTACCTATTTATTTATGTGTAGTATATGTATAAAACTGGACAGTAGAAGTGAGTACCTGAAAAAAACAAAAACTTCAACGCTATGACTCACATAAAATCATTCACACAAACCCATTCATCTGAGGCTTCATGTCAATAGTTTGGAATCTTAGTTTAGAAACATAAAACTTTGGGGCTTCACTTTTAAAGATATCTTGGCATCCTTTGAACAACTACTGTATTTCCAAGGAAGTTTTGTTATTGATAATTGAAGGCTCTGTAAGTATTTCATAAAATATCATAAATATTGACATTCATCTTTGTCTTGGTCAGACCTAGTCTCTAAGTCCTCTCATGTCCACAAGCCCTTTGAATCTGGTCATAACATTTTATCGCAGGGAACAGAACACATTGGTGTACTTATTATGCCCTGTGTGATTCTGGTTTGTTAACCAGATAATGAGGCTGGGGAAGAGGAGGGCAACCAATATGTAGACTAGACAGTGGGAAATGAAGAAGGCTGTCCCAAAAAGTTTGCTAAACAATGAAAATGGGGGACAAATTGAGTGTCAACTCAGGAATTTTTGGATTCAGGAGAGAGAGAAGAGATTTGGCTAGTTAGTAAACAGCAGGAGAAACACAAAAAGAAGGCAGTAGCTAATATCTGGCAGTAGAAGCATAAGGCAGAAGTAATGAACAACCAAAACCTAGGAGAAAGGAGCAAGAAACACAAGCATGAATCAGAAAGAAGGAGGTAAGTCAAAATTGAATCAGCAGTAGCAGATAAGATAAAGGATGAAAAAAATTATGCAGTGGAAGATTTGAAGACAAAAGGATTGAATCTTGAATGACTTCTACAGTCCTAAAGCCCATAAAATCCAGCCATGTGGGAAAAGATTCCAGTTCTTTTTGTGGGTCCTGGTTTGGGGCTATGTCCTGGATTCACAGGAGTCCAGGATGAATGATCACAATTTCTGTTTTACTTATTTCTACATGGAACCCTTTAATAAAACTCACATGACTTAAGACATTCTCAGGGAACCCTGTCTTTATAGCAGCAAAAAGATGTAGTTAATACTGCTTTTTTATAACTGCACAGCACTGTACTCATTAGACAGCAAATGTACTTACTATATTGTAATAAAATGGTCTATTTACTTATCAGCTTCTTCGACTTCCACCTCTAGGCCTGGGTTTTATCTGTTGTCTATATCCTCAGGGTTGTCCCATAGGAAGTTGTCATAAATTCTTGTTAAATAAATGAGTAAAACGCCACTCTAAAAAGCTACAAACACACACAGTTATATTTAATCACCCATAAGTGTAGTGTTATATTTGTGCAAAATAGGATGCCTGGTATGGCAGATAAATTACTTATACACATTTTTGAACTTTAATAAGAGAAGTTGCTGCTACTTCTGGCAACTTCAGAAAGGCAAGTTAAAGTAAACCTCAAGCAGTTGTTTTTCCTATGAAGAATCACTGAAGGTCTCCCTTTTTTTATAAAAGAGCAGGGAAAATTGACTTTCTTGGTGGTGAGCTTGGAAAATGTGCAAAAGAACCTTCTATCTTTAACAAACTCCTCCCCTTCCTAGAGGTTCTGGCATGCAAAAGATGGTTATAGGGGAGGAAAATCCAGGATTTTCTGGGGAAAAAGTGAATGAATCCCCAAAGACTGTTCCTTAAGATACAAAGTTGGGAAACTCATTTCAGTGGTTTCAGTTGGGCCTTAGGATTCCAGGAGGGGAGAGAAATCTTGGAAATAAAATTGTCTTGGGAAAATGAGGTCCCTGAAACAATATACCTAAGTTCATCCTCATGCTTCATGGTGAGGATTTACTCTGACTTGGTCTAGAAGGTGACTCTTAACCCTGCCAGGCTTTAGAGATAAATGCCAAGAAGGAAGAAATCGATTTATAAATTAATTTAGAAAGAGACACCACCTTACCTTCCCAGGTAGGGCACCATTGTGACTTTGTATGTGACTCTGACCTGGCAAGAGCATCCCTGTAGCAATGGGCAAGACTCTGGAATTATACTAAATCAGTCTCAGGTGACACTAAACAACAGGTAAAAGCAACAGAGCTGTATATCATATCCACTTTCTGGCCCTAGCTCTGTATGGTTAGAAGAAATATTGAATGCATTCAGAGTTGGAGTTACTGGATAATTGGTATTAGAGCAAATGGGTAAGGTCTCAAGAGGGTGAGACTAAACTTTCTGATAGAAGACACATTATACTTTTAACAATTCCTTTTAATTCTAAATGATACATGACTATTGTATGCTGCAGTGTAATGGAGCAGTTTAATGAAATGCAGTTTATTTAAATTTATTTCTTTGTATAATTTTTGCCTCCTTATTAACATATTTGGTCTTTTCTTTCCCCTATAGACTCTTCTGCTCTCCTCTCTTCTTTCTAAAGCTGTTTGTAAAAGGGAATGTTATCTTTCTTGCTGTGATCTGCTATCCAGCTTGTTACTCCCACATATCCTGGGCTCAAGCCAGCCAGCAGCCTCACTGCCCATTTCCCAATGCACCCTCCTACTATTATCACATGTCCATCTGCTCTGTTTGCCTTTTCTGGGGGGACCCCAGCTGCCAACTTTTAAAAAAATTCTCTGAGCCATATACTATCTTCCAGGTACACATGCCTGACCTCTCCAGCCTTATTCAGTGGCCACAAAGGACAGGTTAGAAGTCTCCAAATTCCAAATTCAAAGGCATTTAAATGATCTGATTTTTATCTGGAGCTATCCTGTCATTCTGCCTCAGAGTATGAGGTGCCATGATTATACTCTTCAAGTTAGTGCTCGACATCAAATATCTTGTTTTTTCTTAATAATATACCATAGGTCCATTATCATAGACATATTATCTATAATGTGTTTTTATGCTGTAGTTCAATCCTGTGAACAAACCATTTTTGCTAAATTAAATCACTACTTCACAACAGCTGTTGCTTTTACTATTGACTACTAACTATTGATGTTTATTTTAATACATAATATCTATTCATTTTTGAAAGGGCTGGTTTTACATTATCTGTGTACTCCAAACTGAATAATTTGATTTAATAACAGGGCAAAAAACCATTAAAGGTACTAAATTATAACCCTTTTTGTTTCTACCATGTATCTCCTCTGTTCATTCATAGACTCCATTTCCCCATTGGACTTCATTTAAAGAAATTCAAATTCAAAATTTAGAAAAAGTTCAAAACTACAGTTAGGAAGAATTTCAACATAGCAGCAGCAGAGCATTAAATTAAATATGAGGCCCTTCTGAATGTGGAACCCCATATGACTATACAGGCTGCACTCCCAAGAAGATAACCCTGACTCTACACTTAGCATTTTGTCTGTTCATTTGTCTATTTTGCAAAAACATTTGTTTCCAAAACAGTAACAAGTGTCTTTGCAGCAAAGTAAATTCACAGTTAAAACACATCGTTGTTGTCTGCTTCTACCCAAGAACAAAGTAGGTGGCTTAATAAATGGCTTCCTTGTGCCAACAATTCTTGGGTATCATTTCATTACACACCTCAATCTTGTTTCAAAATTGTGGCTTCAGGGGGCTGGGGATGTGGCTCAGGCGGTAGCGCGCCCGTCTGGCATGCGTGCGGCCCAGGTTCGATCCTCAGCACCACATACCAACAAAGATGTTGTGTCCACCGAGAACTAGAAAATAAATATTAAAAATTCTCTCTCTCTCTTCTCTCACTCTCTCTTAAAAAAAAATAGTGGCTTCAGTAACAAAGAACAAAGATAGAACCAGGTTTCTTGCCTGTGAGAGCAGTAGTGGACTTCCCAGCATTCTCTCCATCAGTATTTCTAACAATGTATCTTATCTGTTTTGATAAATATCTGTCTGCAAAAATGGTATTCTACATATTATACTATGTATATGTATGTTTGTACACAAAAAGCACTTTGTTTACAGGTCTGTTTTCCTGCTTTTTTATCTGGGAATATTTCCTTTTTCATTGCTATATAACATCTACAATACAATGCACACATTTTAAGTTCACATCTCAATGAATTTTTACTTAAATGAACATCTGGTAGACATCACCCACATAATATATGGCTTCACAAATCTTCCTTAGGACCAACTGCTCATCTCCTCACTACATGGTAATTAGTATTATGACCCCTGTCACTATAATTTCACCTATTTTTTACTTCAGTACAACTATTTGAACCCACATAGTTTCTGTGGTCAATAAAATATTTTAAAAATGTTCAACTTTATTATAAAGGAAATAAAAATTAAATAAGCAATTGAATTACTACTCACATCTACTCAAAAGAGAAAAGTTTTAAGTATAAATATATTTCAAGTGTTGGCAAATATGTTCAGCAATGAAAACTGTCCTAGAACATGGAAAATATGACCATCTTGGAAAACATATGCCATTATGATGACATGAAGTTGAACATGGGCATACACCATGCAACCCAACATTTTCACTTGCAGATTTGCACCTGAGAGAAATTCCTGCACGTGTTCACCAGAAGGCATTTGCATCATTGTTTTAGAGCTCATTTTTACAGAGATTTTTTCTTTATTGAGAAACTTAAGACTTGGATACTGCTGCACAACATGCCACTGAATCAGTCAGGGTCCTCCAGGTGAATTGGGCTAACTACTAAATACCATACCGACACAGAAAATACCTTTTTTGGGGGGTGCAGTGACAGCTCCTCAGCCTCAGCTCCCAAAAGGGAGGCAAAAAAAAAGGTAGGCAAGAGAGCGAGCATGCCCTGAACCCTGTTTTTTATT